AATCTGATAAACCAAAGCTGGTGTACAGGGCCCCGACAGGGGTACAATAAAACACTTGGGCGGCTTCAAAATGCAAGCCCGCAACACGCTTGGAGGCATTAAAGACCTTGTGCAACCGAGCCAGGGATTGAATCGCATACACAACGGCCCCCACGTCGTCAGCACAAGCCCGAACCACCCCAGTCCCCGAATCAATCACCAGGCGTCGGGAGTGTGCCATAAACGGATGAGATGCTAGACTATAAATTACCCCTGAGGCTGGGCAACCCTGGATTATCCCCGCTAATATAGAATAAGACCTGGACCTGGGGGCCAATCATACCATAACAGCAAACATGAGAGTATATTATTTTGAAAAGATGGAGGAGGGGGGCGGGGATCTGGAGAGACTCCAAAACAAGACGGAGCCAGTCGTGAGCAATAGAGGGGAAGGCTTGGGAATAGTCAAAGGAGACAAGGAGAGGGAGACGACTCAGTGCTTCAGGATTGAATCCCACTGCTCTGGCAGCAGCATCCAGTTTTAATATATTCAGGCCGAAGTTGCGGCCCACCACGAACCCGCGCTGGATGGGGCCCACCGCGGCCGGGGCAGCCAAGGTGAGGCCCCTGACGGCAACATTGGTGATAACCTTCGCATCGGCGCTCTTGAGGCCTAGGGGTCGAGTGTTCGAGGGCTCCCTGGAGACCAGGACGGAGTCATTCTGGGCCTCACCTTCGGCTATGAAAACTCCGCGGACATCGTTAAAATCGAACGGCATTTGATTTCCAACTAGAATCCAAAAGAGAACATCGGCCAGTATGCGGGGACCTTGAGGATGCCGAGCCACGCAGCATATGGGGGCCCGTCAGGCCCAGGTGCACTTTTGGGGAGCTTCCTCAGGAGGGATTCGATCTGGGCCTGATCGGGGGGCTTGATGTTCGTGAAATCGTGCTTGATCCCGAATCTGTCCAAATGCAGTTTTGCGGCCTGGGTCTCGATCGGCTTCTCACTACAAACCTTCCCCCAGTGATGTGCAAGCTCATCAAGACAGCGCTGGGGCTCCGTAAGAACCTCTCCGCTAGGTAAGTTGACCCCCATGGGGGCACACTTGACGACCGAAAGGGGGCCAGATTCGACTGCGCCGCTCCAGTCCCCTTAGCTTTCTCCGAAGCTTCGCTTGCACTTTCTCTGGTGATGGTTCATCCATCTGCCGACGCACTCTCCGTGATGCGTCTTGGTTGAGCCTGAAATTCAGCTCATTGGAGTAAGTCAAAAAGCCTTCGGGGTCGACAAGCTCAACTTTGCCCGTCAGCGGAAGCAATCGCAAATAGCGAGCACCTAGCGGATGTGACGTTTGAAGCTTCTCGGCTAGATTGTAGTCCTGCTTCCATGCAGCTCGTCCTATGGACTTGAGAACCAGGAACAGGGTTAGGGGATCTTTGAATTTCGTGAATACTATGAGGTCACGGGCCCGACGAGCAGCTCCACGCATAAGATTTGTGTGCAACGCCAGCTTGAGCGGAACCGATAACTCCGAGCAATCTACCTTCTCCAAAGTCCTAGCAAGGAGCTCCCTGTACTCTTCCCTCTCGAAAATCTCGGGCGGAATCGGGCGATTTTCAGGAGGAACCGACTTCTGGCACAGGATCGAATAGCAGTGGGCGGCATGGTCCGATACCTTGGCCCCACGTAGAACCTCAGGGAGCCCCTTGACACTGCAAGTGAAAGAACTCTGGACAATGGCCCAGCCAGGCATGCTGACAAAGGCGCGGTCGATCTTCGACAACGTGTTCTGCGACGCGCAATAGTGCGTGAAATCATCCCCCTCCACCTCCACCATGGCAGAAAATACTCTAGCCCATCCCGTAATCCTTCCCCTCCTCCACTCCTGACCACGAGCGACCGCCTGACGTGTGGGCGCCCCATCCCTCGTGGAGCTGTCAGCGTTCAAAATCGTCGGAGGCTGCTCGGCTAAGTTGAAATCGCCGTGCACTATCACCAGCATCGAGTCTGGCGTCCGCTGGGCGAGCGCCGTGTCGGTTCAGATTTTCTCGATAACTATCCCTGGAGCTAGCAGTTATTCCGAAGTTGTGCACGCTGTAGTGAACGATAGACACATTCCCCTGGAAGATAAAAGACGGTTCGAGGACCCGACCCGCGATCGACCCCTCCGGCACCGCCCGCGGCGTCCCAGCAAAACCAATCACACTGAAATCTGGCAAGAAAATGACAACCCCTCCAGCAGGATGACCCGAAGAAGCGGGAACGAACGAATCTCGGCTTTTATCTTCAGATTCGAATTGTAGATAAAGTCCTGAACTTCGCACGACGAACCGCGAGACTCCCGGGTTCCTACGATGCTCCCTGGTCGAACGAGGCTGGCTAGATACTGAAGCTTGTTGGATCGTTTTTCAAGTTCAAGTGGAATAACGCCCGAGCATTCCATGACACCGAGGAAAAGCGTCAGAGCCGAACGAGGAGTCGACGCAGAATCCGAAGGGGACGGGGAGGAAGAAGACGAGGAAGGACGCGAGGAAGACGTGCCTGCTCAAGCGCGGGGCACCGCGCTAAATACTCCACTGAACTGCCTGCTGCTGCGGGGCGACAAGCGCGGGGCTGATGGCCTGCTCGATGTCTGCCCTTGATATCTGGAGGGTTGCGATGCTGTCTGCCGCGCGCTCGATCTGCACGGGTTTGTCAGCAAACACCTGAGTGCGAAGAACTGGCTTCCACTGGCATGAGATCTCGCCGCGCTGCTGGTTGATATAGAACTCGCTGGTCAGGTAAAGGCCCAGCATGTGCTTCTTGATCTGCTTGAGCGCGATCTCCGTCCGAATCTGGGCCGTCGACTTGCCGGGTCCAATGTGCAGCTCCTGGGGCTGGCCGTCCACGTCTGAGACCTGGAACCTGCGCCAGTCGTTCGGGCCACGCTTGAGGCACATGAGCACCTGAGTAGCCCTCCTTGCGGCCAGTGCCGAATTGCCACCACTTTGAATGTCGAAGCGCTTCGCTGCGGGCTCTCCGACGATATCATAAGAGGAAAAAGGAAGGTTCGCTGCTGCCATCCACTCCTCGATCGCACTACCAATCTGCTGCCTCTGCACCATAGACTTGCATCTCGCCACGATGATGGTGGGGTTGGGCTCACGGTTGAAGCCTGTGTTGATCTAGATATGCGGCTTTTCTTGGGCCATGAATCCCAGAGTTGCTTCCAGTTGTTGAATGCGTCCTTCGAGCCGCGATACGTGTGTCTCCATCTTCGCCTGGCGGTTCTCGACTGCACCCATACGACGTTCCACCTGTACACCCAAGGATGTGCATGCTGTCTGAACTGTCGGCGCCAAACTTCCGACTTGCCCCTTGATCGCGTGGATCGATTCCAAAAGTGAGCGCTGGGCATCGTCGATGTAGCAGCGAAGCTCATGTGCCTGCTGCTCGCCCTCGGGGAAGGTGTTCGGTGGCTCCTGGAACTCTCGATCGTCCTCGATGTACTCTGCTGTCTGAACTTCGCTTCCACGGGGGATATTGCAAGCAGGGGCTTCTGGGTCAGCACTAGCTCCGTTGCCACCGCCAAGAGCGCCACCACCACTATTAGCAACGCCCGTATGCGTAGCCGCCATCGTGTCGTCCTTCGCAGAACCGTTGAGTCTGCAGGACTGCCCTTCACGAGGGAAACTGTGGGTGAAATCGTGGTGAAGTGGGAAAGGGAACGGTCCCTTGGCCAAGCGAATGGCCCAGCTGGGAGACCGCGGGCGATGCCCCGAACCTGCCTGGGCCAGACACGCTACGGAGGGGTCCAAAGCTAATCGCTGGTTCCCGGGCGTCTATAGCCCTTCGCAACGTTTAGCCTTGAGCCAACATGGCTACGAACCTCCTCCTCCTCCCCTCCTCCTCTCCTCCCCTCCTCCTCCTCCTCCTCCTCCTCCTCCTCCTCCCCCTCCTCCTCCTCCCCTCCCCTCCCCTCTCCTCCTCCGCCTCCTCCTCCTCCCCCTCCTCTTCCTTCTCCTCCTCTCCTCCTCCTCTTCCTCCTCCTCCTCCTCCTCCTCCTCCTCCTCCTCCTCCTCCTCCTCCTCCTCCTCCTCCTCCTCCTCCTCCTCCTCCTCCTCCTCCTCCTCCTCCCTCCTCCTCCTCCTCCCTCCTCCTCCTCCTCCTCCTCCCCCTCCTCCTCTTCCTCCTCCTCCTCCTCCTCCTGCTCCTCGTCTTCCTCCGCCTCCTCCTCCTCCTTTCCCTCCTCCTCCTCCTCCTCCTCCTCCTCCTCCTCCTCCTCCTCCTCCTCCTCCTCCTCCTCCTCCTCCTCCTCCTCCTCCTCCTCCTCCTCCTCCCAACCACCTCTTTCTCCCCCTCCTCCTCCTCCGTCTCCTCCTCCTCCTGCTCCTCCGCCTCCTCCTTCTCCTCCTCCTCCTCCTCCTCCTCCGCCTCCTCCTCCTTTTCCTCTCTTCCTCCTCCTCCTCCTCCTCCTCCTCCTCCTCCCCCTCCTCCTTCCTCCTCCTCCTCCTCCTCCGCCTCCTCCTCCTCCTCCTCCTCTCCTCCTCCTCCTCCTCCTCTCTCCTCCTCCTCCTCCTCCTCCTCCTCCTCCTCCTCCGCCTCCGCCTCCTCCTCCTCCTCCTCCTCCTCCTCCTCCTCCTCCTCCTCCTCCTCCTCCTCCTCCTCCTCCTCCTCCTCCTCCTCCTCCTCCTCCTCCTCCTCCTCCTCCTCCTCCTCCTCTCCATCCCTCCACCGCCCGCCTCATGTCCCGATCCTGTGGCAGGGTCATCAGCTCGTCGTTGTCTTTATCGTCGTGGTCGTCGTCGTCGTGGTCGTCGTCGTCGTCGTGGTCGTGGTCGTGGTCGTCCTTCTGGGTCGGCGGCACCGACCGTAAGGCCTTGACAAAATAGAAATGGGAATGCATACCACGATATTCACCGCCTGCCGAGGTTCCCGAAGACTGATCTCCCATGCTGTGGTCATGGATAGATCCTCGCCTGGGAGTAATCGCCAGCTGTGGGGGGGTCGGGGTGCTTGAGTTCCCACCCCTGGTTGCCTGCGCCGAAGTGCACCCTCTGCCTGGCGGGCGGCCCGACGGCGCCGTCGCCAGCGAGCCAGTCGTCCGCGGAGAGCGGGTGCCGCAGCGCGCGCGGATGCGCCGCGGAGCAGATGCTCGGGCCAGACGAAAGGGGATGAGGGAGAACGGCTACAGTCAACCCGTATGATAAGGGTGTGCGGTAAGGATGCAAGGGCCTTGGAGGGCCATGTTCATGTTTTTCGAACGAGGCTGGCCAGCGAAAATTACCAAGGACGGGCCGAAGGGGCAAGGATGCAGTGGTAAACTTGGACAGTCGTCCATCCTTACTATGCGGGTTGACTGTAGGGGGGGACATGGCCGATCGATGTTGTCATGTTCTGTCCTTGGGCGAAAGCTCGAGACCGGAGAGGACAGGTAACGGCCCGTGCGAGCTTCCAGGGCTCACCGAGCCAGCTCGGCACAGCGACTGGGCAGGAGGTGACTTCCGCGCGGCCCCCGTGAAAAAGAGGGGGAGCGGCTCAGGGGGGGGCTGGCTCAGGGGGGGGAGCACCAACATGGAATCGGCTGTACATCGGCGATAAATAAGCGATACTCCGTGTTTCTGAATAAGCGTCGGGGGAGCGTCGCCCCCGCCGACAGCCCCACATCGACCCCCGTCGCGGGCAGCCACCGCGCGCCGAAGGCGGTCCGACCCCGGTCGCGGCGCGACGACGAGGCGAGGCTGACCCCCGTCAAGGGGGGTACCCCCCCACACTTGTTGAGAAACCCAGAGCAGGCCCCCGATTGCGAGTCCGCACGTTTCTGGGCGGGGTGGGCGATCCGGCCGGGCGATCAAGGGGCGACGGGGGGTCGGCTCGTCCTCCACCTGAGCCTTTCCCCCCCTTGACGCTGCCCCCGAGGGGAGGTAATCTTAAGTCGGGCGTGTCCCCCATACAGGGGGATTTTCGACGAAGAAAAATTAAAAATACCCCACAAATGCCCCAATGAGGTCAATAAGTACATAAAAAATAGCCCCCAGACTATGTTTGGACTATTTTCTGATTATGTTTGGGGTATTTTTTTTTCCGTCGAAAATGCACCTTTAGGAGGACGGGCCCGAATTAATGGTAGTCAGAAGGGGGGCCCTGCCGCAGCGGCGAGGAGGCTCGGAGGAGGGCAGGAGCGCCCAGACTCCTGGGCCCTCGGAGCTTCGACCCTCGATCCTCCGTGGGGGGGAGGAGGAGGAGGAGGAGGAGGAGGAGGAGGAGGAGGAGGAGGAGGAGGAGGAGGAGGAGGAGGAGGAGGAGGAGGCGTTGCCCTAATCGAACGGGGCGCGGCGCCCCCCCACCGCGCGCGCCGCCCCGCAGGGCGACCCCGCGCGTCCGCCGTGCCATCGGCGGCCAGGCCCTGCGGCCTCAGCCAGCGCCCTCTCGAGGCGCAGAGCCCTGCTCGGGGCGGCTGGGGCTGCCTGCGGCGCTGCGACTCCCGACGGAGGCACTCGGCGCTCGTGGCCAGGAACCCGCGTGGCACCCGTCGTCAGCGCAGGCAGCGCACGGCGGACCGCAGATTACTACGCGTTGCAGACGCCGGGGTTCGATTATCTTCACATCACAGTGCAATGGCGCCGTGGACACGCGTGAAGTGCTCAACGAAGAATGGCGCAACTTTCTGATACTGCAAACAGTGTGGGAATCAATACGGCAATTACAAGTCCAAAAAGCAAAAGTCACACGACAAACCTGATAGAGCTAAGAAAGAAACTCGTGAAAGTTCAGGCAGCCACAAAAGGAAAGAAGGACCCGTTCGCAGAGTGATCAATGAGATCGGCCCCATGCACCCGCGCCTGGCCCAAGTTTCAGATGCGTGGGTCAGGCCGCCATCCGACGATGACAAGGAGAAGGCCAAATAATACAAGCAAAAGCAATGGAAACGTATTTATCAATTGGCGGAGTTGGTTATTTCTCTCAGAGCCGCTGGCAAGTCAGCGGCGATAGAGATCACAGAGGCTGCTGTTTTGAAGGCTGGCATCTTGCAGCTTTTACCTGTTGCGGAGCAGGAGAAGTCCATCAGCACGCGTGCAGATACTGTGAAGGAGAAGCTTGATAGGATTGAAAAGCAGTTGGGAGAGCTGGTCAACCAACGGGATGCTTTGCAAAAAGAGTATGCTCAAGCCAGGGAGCAGCTTGAATCCTTGGCGCAGGCTTCCAAGAGGCACTTGAATGAGGATATGGAATCGCATATGGAAGTTGACCATCAGTCTGTGCCTGCTCGTCCGCCACCGCCTGTCCCTCCCCAAGCGGCACAGGGTGCAGGACCCAGCCCAGCCGCAGCAAGGGCAGCAGCGGCAAGGCCACCGCCACCTCCACCTCCCCCAATATCTTCCGACAAGGGGAAGGGGGGGAAGCCTAGTGAGATGGCTCAGATAACGGCGTCACTGCAGCTCATTTTGGACCAGCAGAAGAATCAAGCGGCGCAGATCCAGGCACAGCAATTACAGACACAGCTACAGGCAAACAAGTTACAGTTCCTCTTCGCGCAGTTTGGTGCATCAAGTGGACAGACAGTGATGCCACAGACTCAAGAGGCGCCGCAGAAAATGGCCGAGGTTTCAGTTACACCACCTGCACCAACTCCAGAAGGTCAACGTCAGCAGCAGCCGCAGACTATTCCGTCACAGTCGCAGACAGCCACCCCAGTAGGGACGGCCCCCCAGAGAGTACCACTGAGCGTACCTTCGCAGTCGCAGATGCCTCCGCCAGCGGGTGCAGCTGGTGTCTGGGCCAAGCCTGTTTCTGCTCCCTCTGGGACTGCCTCGACTGACCCCTTCGACGCGCAAGCTTGCCACGACATGCTCAAAGACGAGCAGCGGGTACGTGATCAGCGTGAACAGGATGAAGCACAGGCTGAAGCTGAACAGCGACGTATTAATGAAGAGGCTGAAGGTTTGTTTCAAGACGAGCACGGGCGCGAATTCGACATCGAGCGGGAAGCAGAGCTTGAGAGGCAGGTCAAAGTCGAGAAGCAGCCTGAGGCACATGCGAGATTTGAAGCCGAGCAGGCTTTGATCAATGAAGAAGCTGCAGCAAAGTTGGGCACGCATGTTGATGGAGGTGTGCCGCCACCACCACCACCACCACCACCGCCACCGCCTCCTCAGGGTGAGGCAGGTGCGTCCCCGCAGTCACACTGGTATTCGCCTACGTCCAGTGGTATACCTGGTACTGCCCAGCCAGGAGGGCCTCCTCCTGGCCCTGCGCGCTTCGACCGGGCCGCCGACGACGCCAAGACTGAGGTGCGCAAGGGCTCTTCGAATCGGAGTAGGTCAGATGAAAGTCGAGCTGAGCGTATCCGACGCGGCAAGCCCGTCGACCTCGGCAACAGCGAGGAGGTGCGTAAAGAGGCGGGGTTTCGCATACTAGGCGCGGCCCCCACAGGGGGGGCTTAGCGCGCGCCAAGTCCATCGAGGAGCAGCAGCGGCGCACCGTGCACTTTGCCCCAGCGCACGAGCTGCGCACCTATGTCGACGAGGTCGGGGACTCCGTCGGCACAAATTCAAGCAGTTCGCATCTTCATGTAGCAGCGGGCGAGGGTGCGAGCATTGACCGCTCTAGACAATCGGGCATGGCTAGTTCAGAATGTGTGTGGCCACCCGTCGGCACGCGCTGCTCAGCATCCAATGATGGCGCTGGGGGCGCCAGAGGGTACCGACCGTCGGCTTCGGCCGGCGGCGCGCACTGCTCAGCGCCCCCCAGCCAGCTCACGGGTGCCAGAGGGCACCGACCGACGGGTGGAGATGAGCATCGCCAAGAGGCTTTGGGATGCCGTGCGTCTACTACCGCGTGCTCTCTTGCGCCATCGGGCGGACCGAGGGCCTCTTTCACCGTGGACATCTACCACTGCATGTTCGCTTCGAGTACGGAATCACCGAATTCTTTTCCTACTGGCGGTATGGTGAGGGACAATGTTGCTACAAGGCAGCATTATGCTGGCATGGAGCTTGACGGCCCCAACGTGCCTGTCGACCTTACAGACCCCCTGCCAGCGCCACCAGCATTTTGCAAGGTCAAGCAAACCCCCACTATTTCGGAGCTCTACTGTCGGGTACAGTGGCAATTGAGGCTCTCTGGGGACTACCGAGGTATGCTTCTACATCCCTTTGCTGATCTTGCTCTGCGAACGCACCCTCCTCGTCCAAGCACGAGCCCGGCCATGCATCATGCATATAGTGACGCGTCCTTGCACATCAAGTCCCCCGAGCTGGCGGCGTCTGCGCTGGCCCATGCCATGCAAGACTCTGCGGGTTTGGCGTGCCAGGGCTTTGTGGCTGCGCGAGCATCGACAGCTCGCGCCGTCCCAGACACGAGCGACCTGACTCACAGCACAGGAGTGGAACTCTTGGGTGTGGTCTGGGCCGCAATCTTTTCGCCGCAGCTTCCATGGGACGAACAGGTCTACATCATCTGCGATAACATGGCGGCGGTGGACAAGGCCCTGGGTCGAGTACGTTTGGTGTCAGACGTGGACAAGATGGCGGCCGCAGTGCTTCGCGATGTGCAGAGGGCGCGACCAGTAACTGTGATCCAGGAGCCCGGGCATCAAGACTACCCTTGGAATGCGGCAGTCGACTCGACCTCGCGGCACTTTACCAAATAATCCAACGTGCCTCCCCTTCTTCCCGATGCTCCCAAAAAGGCCCTGGAGTATTCTGTGGATGTTGAATGGCAGATCTTCAGATTACTTGATCCTGAGACATCCCCGTTCCCTCCTTTCCTGAACGATGGATTTCACTTCAACTTGAATAAGCAGAAGACATCTCGAGCTCCTGATGCTGAGCTCAAAGATGGTAAGCTTGAAGTCTCGCGGATACCAACGACAATCAACTACAAGTTAGCCTCCTTCAATACTGTTACGATTTGCGCAGGTGAATAAGCAGAGTCAGAGGCGGCAAGAGAAGTAGTTCACAACCTGGCCAGGCAAGAAGATCAGCGTTCACGGGCAAGGCATCTTCGATTACAACTCAAAGATGAGGCCGTATTACTCGCGGGCATCCAAGAAACGGGCCATCCATGTGGGAAGTCCGGGACTGACGGATTCTTGGCGGTGAACACGGGTTCGATCTCCAAAGGATTAGGGTGTACGTTGCTCGTGAACCTTG